TCCTGCTGTTCAGGACTAATGTTCTTGGTGCTTCCTCACAAGGTCCTGATCATTACTGAGCTGGCTTCTCTAATTTAATGAGCCAAAAAGACCTTTCCATCACAAAATGATAGATACCCTTGCCCTACACCATCCTGTTTCTTTCACCTGCCACTTCACACATTTAGCACAGCCTGTCCCAGCAGTTTCGAACACAGCACCTCCCAGGCAGCATACCTTGCCCATGTCTTTTTGCTCTGCACTGGGTGAGAGGGGAGCCCACGCTGCAAAACATGAATTTCCCCATTCACCTACGACCAAATTCAGCTCATTTGTATGAGCTAACAAGGACATCTCTAGTTCTACAGAAAAACAACCTCTATTTATAAACACCTCTTGCTCAGATTTTAAACATCTTGACTTTTGGGGGTATTCAGCTTTCTTATCCACTGTATTGCAACCTAATCAAGACTGCAGTGTTCTCGAGCAACACAAACATTTCACATGTTTGAAAAGCAGACTGCAAGGAAAAAAATACAAAGTCAATCTGTTTCCAGATGCCTCCAGGAAGAATCTTATTTGTATCTGTTAGATCCAATTTGTATCTCTCTTGTACTGATAAAATTCAGCATTTTGCCCCTTGTCAAGGAAATGCAGACACAAAGTATGATGCTTCAACAAAGTATGAACTTCAACATCTGGGTGCCTTTCTGATCCAGGGGCTCAGAGCAAACATAAGTTTTCTGAAACACTTGATTCCTCCCTAAAAGTCATCATTTATTTCCCACACATTTCTAACTGACTGTCATCTCCTACTGATGCTGATTTCAGTGGGAAAAACTTTAAAAATCTGGACTAAGGATATTTGCTACTAAGTCAACAACTCCAGGCCAGATTTTGTCCTTGTCTGTCCTTGCACTGACAGATATGCACGGAAATGCACCTGACCAGAGGTTTAAACAACAGATTTATCATCATCAGCTCAATGCTTCCCCCCAAACTCACCCCCAGCTGGTGTGAGGAAGGTGAGAGTAGAATTTAACTTTCTTATTTAAAACTTTGATTTTGTCCTTTCCTTAGATAGTATCTGCAATGCTAGAGAGCAAAGTTCAGGGAGGAGGCACCTCTGCATAACGCCAGTAGCATCTATGTCCCTGTACATCTAATGGTCTTCTAGCAATTTTCTGACCCTCTAAAATGCTGGGAGACAGTACCTGCATGGATCAGCTCTTTTATAGTTACGTATTTGCCTTGTGGCAGTAGCTTACTAAATAAAATTGAATTTTCTCTTTTCTTACCGGTCTAGGTCGCGTCTCTCTCAGGAACGATTTCAGGTCACCTCCAGCCATGAGCTCCAGCAGGATGAAACGGGGCAGTGCCTGCAAACTCACCCCAATACAGCGCACAATATTCTGGTGGTTGAACTTGCTGTGGAGACAGAAAGACCCAGTTATGGAGCAACTTTAATCTAAACCACACAATTACAGAAAACACTCAGAATGTTTTGCTGCAGGGAATGCTTTTTTTGTTTGTTTTTAAGAACAAAACAAATCTCCAGGGTAGTGTGATAAAGCTTAAGCGCTACCCCTGCACTCTGTACCTGTTTGCACAGTGCAGCAACAGAGGTGGGGAAGGAGTGGCTTTTGGTTGCTTTCCCTCTTTCTAAATTCTCTGTCCTTTTTGAGCTATGGCAAGACTTGTTGGCCATCGGAAGCAGAGAACGTCTGATAGCAGAAAAAAGTCAGCTCCTAATTTCACTCTCCAAGGAGCAGAGCTGGGCCAGGGTAGACTTATTCCAAATAACGTACCAATACAGTGATCCACTTATGTAGGGGACATTCCTTAAGATCTAGTCTCTAATATTTCTTATTTCTCCAGACCTCAATGTGATAGGAAACTATTTCCACAGATTCTATGACTCGGTGACTGACATGCAACATAACAGCAGCATTAAGTTAATGTCCTCTGTTAGTTTTGACTAGTCAAATCCAAACACCTAAGTTGCTTTTATCTCATGTTCTGATCTCTAAGACAAATCAGAGGATCCTGTTATCAGTTCTCCAAACTGGGCCTAGAGATTTTCACTTTGGACAATGAAAATCAGTGTCGACTCTCTTGAAAATGTAGTCCTTAATAATCTGGTGCCTCTTAATTTGTAAGAAAAATAGGAAAAGATATTAATGTCTATTCTCTTAAAACACTGACAGCCATGCACTAAAATTAGCATACAGATGTGTGGACATCACCTCTCAAAGCACAGTTTTTCTTTAAGTTCTGGGCTTCACAAGCTTACACAAGTGCTGTTCATCTTATTCATACACACCTAATAATGAGAGCTTCCATGAGGAAGTCCAGCTCATCTTGCTCCGAACACACTTCTGGCAGTGTCTGGAGGAGAAAGAAGAGGTTGATGAGGAGAAGATATTTAAACTGACAGATGTAGAACAACTGGCACAAACAAAAGCACTAACACTGTCTGCAGCAATCCTTGTTTCTCTGAAAGAAACCTCACTCTAAGATAATAGCCTGACCATTACCAAACTAGACTGTGAAGCCTGCTGAAAGGTAACGATCAGAACATGTGGCCCATCAACGTCACTGTCATCCTCCTCCCTGCAAAGGGAATAGCCCAGAGTGCACAGGAACAGTGCTCAATATACAGGACAAGGATTGAGACCACAGTTTCTGAGCTCTCTGACAGTTCAATACTCTTAACTCCCAACAAGGTTATGAAGTATACCCAGCAATAACACTGTGCTGCCATGTAACCTCTAGGAGAAAAGAGGCTATCTAGGCTGCTGGAGGCCTGGAGAATCCTACCAGGGTCTCTTAGGCTTTAGCTTCACATCCAGCGCATATCCATCCTGTAATGCAGTAGTGAGATCCCTGGAAAACCAGCCATCTCCTGCCTCTCATCTCTTTGATCTATGTGCCAGCTGCTCTTGGCCCTGTGAAGACTTTTGGGCTCTGACTCAAAGGCTCGGAACAGATTATCACACCAGGTATAGCATGTGGAGGATGGAGAGAGGATGGAATTATTTCTCATACCTGCAGTTTGTGGCATCTGTATGGGAAATCTTTGCCTGTTTACTACCTACAGACCTCTTTTAACAGTCTCACAAGCCTATATGCTACAAGCTCTACCATCACTATGATGGATTAAAGTGTTGCAACAGAGCAGCAACCTTTCTGGCCACATCCTTCAGTACTATAGTCATGCTTAATTCATCTTCATTTTTATAATGCATTGGGACTCTTGGGTGAAAGGCGCATGAAACCATCATGATAACTCATACACTGTCACTTACTTTCACAGCCACCTGCAAGGGAGTGGGGTCGCTGGGGATCCCTGCCACCTGACCTTCATATACCTCACCAAAGGCTCCATGGCCCAAACCCCTGGACAGACCAGAGAAGACAAAAATGTTTTACTACAGAGAACATACATTATAACACTGTGGTCACAGCTCACAGAACGGACTCATAATTTTCACAGTAGCGAAACAGGGAGAACTGGATATTTACACTGATGATACCATCCCGTCACACTACACAGGGGGCCAGACTTTGGTGTGATCTTTCCTGGAACTACAATGTATTTCACTGGTCGGGAAAGCAATCGTCAAAAGTGAACAGTCATCAGTGAAATCCAGCTGCTGGCACTGCAGTTTGTAACGGGTGACACTCTTCTGTGACTTTGGTGTCTGTGCTCTAGTGGTGGGTGCTCCAAAGCAGGTCAAAGACAGATCTTGTTGTTCCCACACCCTACACACATTAACAACTTCCATGATGTTTATGCATCACAATTAAAGGAAACATTGAACATGAAACTAGGAAGCACAATGATTCTCAAAGGACCTGAATTCGAAATCAAGTATCTTCTCCTGATTTATTTTGTGACTCTGTGTAAGTACCTTAGCTGGTAAATGCTGATTTTAGTGCTTTGTAAAGCACTTAGCTCTAGGAATTCAAGCTGAGAATCATTTCTGGTACTGATCATGTGAAATTTACAGTTTTGTTTTGAATGAGGGTACAAGTAAAACAGAAAGGAATTAAATTAATCACACAACAGATCCTGTTCTATGTTATAGTGATACAGATTTTGCATACCTTCAGTCTTCACTTGCTTAATGTTAAGTCAACTGGTACGACAACAGCTGTACCACGTAGGTGGCATGTTGTAACGACACAGCCAGCTCCAGCAGAGAATGAAGCTGTATCCTGGACCCCGAGACCTTCTTAACCTTGCATGGACTGCATGTTGGGCAGTGGTAGTTTGGGCCTCTAAGAGACATTCCTGCATTTTGGTCTGGGTAAAAGGCTCTCAGTAAGACCCTCTTTTGCAGCATGCACAGATTTTCTGGTAGAGCCAGGTCTGGGCTGATAGCATGAGCTGTTGCCCTCCTGTCCTTTCAAACAGGTGCTGCTAAGGGTGATTTCCTTTGCTGTTGCATAAGCTCTGGCTCTAGTTTTGCCAGGATAAAGACCAGTCTAGGCAGTGAAACCACGGTGAGGACTTGCGTTGTCTGTGACTCAGCCACTTTTTTAATAATATTTTGTAGGTGTCAGGTTGAGACACTATTCTTGGCTACGCCTGACCAACTTTTTACAAACTGGGGGTATAAAACAGATCTTTACAGCTTGTAGCTCACCCTCCTTCCCAAAAGCCTGCCTTCCCTGCCCTTATCTATGCCCTCCGCTCTCTGCAGCTTGCCACATTTCAAAAATCCTTTCAGAGCCTGAGTGACAAAGGCAGCAGCAGCACAGGGTACACTGGAAACTTCTAGGTGCAGTCCAGCAAGATGTGCAGGTAACGAGGAACAGGAGACAGCAAAACATTGCAGACTGCATAGACTGCTCTCTGAGCACTGTCTTTCTAAGTGCTGTATGCTCCCTGGTTTTCCAAGATCTCCTGCTTTCACCTCTTGTCTTTTCATGCAAAACTGCATGGTACCAGGGTAAAGTCACATTTGGATTCCATCAAAGACTTTAAAAGAGCCTCCTACGAGCCTCAGTCTTGCCAGCATTTCATCAGTTAATACTGGAAATGGACCATTCATTGCACAGTCTGCAAAAGATGTGCCTGAATTACTGATTACATGAATTACTCTTCAGTTCCTCTTGTAATCCCAGAAGATTAACACTGTACCTGCAAAAGGCCAAGGAGACTGCCAAAGTCTCGTCCCCTCCACATAAGCCTAACTACTGCAGCTTTACACGTCCTTCTTATGAAAAGGGGCACTGGGTCTAAAAGCATAAGAGAATTTGTACGTGTCTGCACAAAGACATGAGTTCACATCTGTGTAGGAGAGCCAGCAGACATGAGTGTACCGTGTGAAGCCTGGGGAAGGCAAAGATGAATTTACCGGATGAGGGAGATGTTTTTTCGAGGCACCTCTTTGAGGTCACTAATGGATGTGGTCTTTCCTGCAAAGCAGTAGTTGGGATTGTAGTCTGTCATGATAGTGGAGGTGCGCAGCTTGCTCAGTTTATATTCTGGGCTCTGTAACTCCATCTGCATGGCTTGTAGCTCCTGGTGCTTCCGACGATATACTAAATATAGAGGATACAGTAAATCAGAGACAGATTGACTTTGGAACAGGACAGCAGCCATGCAACATGTCTTACTGGAATTCACCGTGTGGCCAAATTTCAGTGAATCAAACCAGTCAGTGACACCATCATATTTCTGTACATGAAGAAATTACAGACAGAAGATGAAATCTGAAATTATCCTGGAACCTTTGATTTACACATCCTAGGAGAAACAGGCTTGCTTCTGAACTGTTTGGAAGAAGTAAAACGGAATTCACTTGCAGAGCTCTCTGATTTCACAGTTCTGAGGTTTTTGTTCTATTTAGTTTAACTGGACCTTCCAACTGTGAGTTCAGTTCCAAACTCGAGGGAGTTAAGAGTATAACCAACTTTCCTAAATCCCACCGAAGTGACTAAAATCTGAAATGAGTTATTGCATCACGTTGTTCAAAATGGACAGACTATACTGTTACCCCAGAGTAACACATAGAGCTAGCTCCTTTTGCAGAATTTCCTCTGTTTCTAAACAACAGAGTTGGACTAAATTTGAAATCAGTGTATGGCAGTGTTATATTCCTTAAATCACTTTACATGCTTCTGAAACATCACTAGAAATCACACTTTGGCAGAAGACATCCTGTGGATATTCCTTGAAATAGTAATTAATATTGCAGTATTTTTTTCAAAGCAAGATGCCAATCTTGAGCAGGTTAAATCACTATTACCCTTACTATTGATTTCTGTGGGAGCTGGATTGAGCCCAAAGCCTGTGACGGTAATAGCTATCGCATCTTCTCCAGCAGATGTTGCTCAGGGGAAGAATTTAAGGGGTAAACATGCACTCACAAAGGCTGATGGATGTAATGACCTATCCACAAACCCTTCCTGTTCTCCATTTTCCTCCTCATTGCTTTTGCTTTGATTTTTTAAATCACTGTTCTTTCCTGAGATGGCAATGATAGTCAAGTTGGATGGAAAGAGGATTACTCTTCCACTCCCTGAAAAGTAATTAGTAATTTTAAAGGGGTACTGTCAGGCCAGAAACCATCCATGTAGGACCATGTGTATGCTACTGATAACCCCTGAAATTCTTAAAACTGAAACAGCTGCACAAATCTAATTTAATAGTTGCTATTTGCTGCTCTGGGTACACTCCTCCCCTCTTCCAGACTATATAAAGTGTGGACAAAGAAAGGTGGCAGAGCTGTGGTTTGAATCCCTTGCTGCTTTTCATTGATTCAAATCTATTCTGCTTGCAGCTGAATGCAGGTGAGCAATTGTTTAAAATAAGAAAATGAAAGGCTGAAAAATACCTTTTAGAATTTCAAATAAAGACGTCAAGAATGCTCACATCCTACTAAGTAGCAGTTTGTAAAAGGGGAACCTACGTGAGAATTTCAAGCTTAAATGTCATACATTAAAGAGGCTAAATGTGTACGTAGGCACGCAGATAAAGGACCTTGCTTTTAGGTGTTAAGCACTAGCAGCTCTCAAAACCAGTGGCAGTTGTATTCTGGCAGCTTTACACTACAACACAAGCAATGACGTCTCTTTCAAGATGCTGTCAGTCACTGAAACCTCCTCAAACTGGTCACTGTGGTCTGAAACTACTGACATCTGAAGTTAAGGCATGTGTGTAGGAAGGTGTCATTAAAAGCGGCAGTAGCTAAAAACCTGAATAATTTTGCCTCCCAGGGCCCGATTATCCCCAGCTCAGATCCAGCCTTCGTAAAAAATTATTTTTTGCAGAGAAATACTCACCTATCATGATTCCTGAAAAAGCCAAAATTAAAGCAGCCACCAATGCTGAAGTCACCACAGATAAGACCAAGGAGAGAGGGACATGAGCCGCTGGCTCAGCTGTAACAGAGGCAAGAGAAGAAGGAATTACATGTTTGAAATGATCTTCCAGCAGTCACTTTTTTGCAGACAGATTTTTCTGCTCTTCCTTCCATTTATTCATTTTCTGCTCCTATGCTATAAGAGCAACTTCTGGCATGATCGGTTCTCAGGATCTATGACTTCTAATACCTCATTGTTTCACTCTCCTCAATTAATATGAAGCCACTGAAACAGATGGTTTGCTATCGACAAATTAACATGTGCACTCTCTGGGTATGAGAACAAGACCATAAAAACCAGGGGCAGGAGGTTGGGGAGGTGGACAGAACACTACATTGCGAGGGTTAAAGTGCTGCTATCGATGCCGAATCACAACAAAAGCAGAAGGAGGACTTCAATATATCATCTCCTAAATGCATCTAATCCAAGGATAAAAAAGTCGATAACTGCCAGTGTAGTACAAAGTATTCCATAGCTGCATCCTCGTTTGGGACCACAAGGCATTCAGTGACCAGCTATTAAAGTTTACTTCACCCTGACAAAATGACCATGATTTTCACCCCTTTTACAGATGGGAACGGTTTTCCCGTGCCAGTGACAAAGCTGAGAGCAGGATTCCAAAAGCCTGGAGTCACCAGCTCAAACTGCTGGGTAAGAATATGAAGGAAATTAGTAATGGAGCTCTGAGCACTTAGTTTTTCAAGTAAGGCAAGTATAGGCACTGTCTTTAGTTTTCCTCTGAGATCTCTCATGTAGAGCTTCTTATAAATTCTGCACAAGGAATCCACAGGAATTATATCCTCCTTCAGCTTGTACATTTTTTTGCTTCTTAAGCGGATTGACCTGCAGTTTAAGGCTAGCTGGAAAATTCCTTCAGTGAGCAACTTTCATTGATTTCAGAGCAGAATGTGAGCACTGGCTCAAGCAGACACAAAAATTGACTCTCTGTGCAGCCCAGTATGCCAAACATATACTGTAAAGCAAACCATCAAGGTTGCTCTGTGCACCATTCCTCAGCACTGATGTGTCATTATCCTAGCACAATAACTCTGCAGCATATACTAGCAGGAAACAAGGTAACATTCAACAGACACCAGCTTTCAGAAAGAATAGATAACACTTTCAGGATGTCTTACAGTTCAAACAACATACTTTTGCCATGTATTCTCTGTTTCACTCACTAGCAGTCTACTGCATACACCTACTTACCTATGCAAGACACGCCATCCTCAGCCAACTCTGTGCCTGGCTCACAGTAGCAAATGACTTTTTGAGTCTCCACATCAACACGGCACTCGTCCATCTCACAGTGACTGCAGTTAAGATGCAGCCTAATAGCCACCTCTCCGTGCCCCTCTGTCACTAGAGAGTGGATGAAAGAAGCTGAGTTAATTACAGTAAAGATCATTCATATCATTCCCTTGGGCACTGACAGAAATGGGGGACATGCGGTCACAGTTGTCAGATGTGACAGTGTGGACCCTATCCAAGAAACTGATTTCTCCCCACCTTCCATAGCTCCTGTCCTTTTCTCATCTAGAAAATAACACTGCCTTAAATTAGCCTCATTGCAGCTGAGGTGCACTGGCTCTCTTTGAGCAGATAGTCCTACCACGTTAGCAAGGAGGCTGCTGCAGAGGCTAAGGGAAACCTGCTCTCTCAGTGGTCTGTGGGGCTCACCCTTTTCTTTCTTGGTCTTTACTCCCTCTGAGATCAAACACTGCAATGTTTTCAAAATTTTCTGGCTGAATCTATGAGGCCAGACTGCATCTGTATTTGAAGATATTTCTGGCTGTTCTAAAGTAAACTTTTTTTTTTCCCCCCCCAGCAAATAGTTATTTTTGATTTTCTGAACACTCTGCAAACATACTCAAGAAGCTGACTTCTGGGCAGACACAGGCTGGAGTGTCACTATTTATCATTCCCATGCACTGCTGGTCAGCACTGCATGGTTTTCTCTAGAAACTCTCTGGTCCAACCTGGATACTTTGCTGAGGGATGCTCTAAGGAATACGTTTGTTAGTGAATAGTCAGGTGCTCTGCCTGTGTCTCTCCAGAATCACCTGAACTATAAGGTTCTGTTACCACTTTCCTTGGACAAAATTATTCTATAGGCTGGTAGACTATATTACTGGGAAGGGCTTTCTAGTAGCCCTGATGTTCCCTCTATCTGCTTTCTTCCTGCTACTTCTGTTGGAAGTAGCATTCTATTCTCCATTGGACTTTGTTACGCTTTCTGCCTCATGTTCATGATGACACTAAGCTGTACCCAAAGGGTTCTAAAGTGTCCTACAGGTGCAAACTGTTCTTAGCACGAAATAAACCACTAGAAGACTTCTGACCAATAGGAATACCTTTAAGTGCTGGAGTGTATAAAGTACCAATTGGATTAATAAAGGAAACACCATCCTCCCCATCCATCTCTGGGTCATTTTCCGCTGCAGCATTGCCACCTACGTTAAACCAGAAGTTACCTTAACAGACTGAGGCTCACTGGCACTAAAATACAGATAAGCATTGCAACATGCACGACTTCAGTGTATTTAGGGAGGCATCCAAATGAGAAAAGAGAATAAATCAAAGTATTTAACACATAGGGAGCACTTGGCGAGTTGTAGGATGAACCACTCATCTTTTATCTCCATAACTTCAATTTAATAGCACCATGTGACAATTAATTTCTCAACTCAGTTTTAGGCAGACTGTTGCAAACTATGTCACAAACTTAGTCTTCAACCATTTGGATGCTGTGAAATATAAGCCCTTCTTAAAATTAATGGATCCAAGAGATTGGATAGCACCAGTACTCAAGGGCCAAGTTCAGCACCCTTGCTGATCAAGGTATGTACTATATCGGCAGAGGGAATGAATAAGCTGTTATCATTCCTCTCCTTTGCACCCTGAAAACAGGGTTGTCCACCAGGAACGGGGACTGAAGGAATTTATGAGTTGCTCCTTTGTGCTTGGGCATACAGAACACATCAGGAGCAAAGTATAGGCAATATATAGAACATCTTAGAGGCACAGTAAGGGCCATATATTTTGTACTGCAAGCATGCAAAGTTTCTCCCACCCCACCCCAAAATGACTTTTCCTCCTTAACCATCTTCAGTAAAATTAAAATTATGTCATGTGAAGCATTCTGTTGGAAAAAGAAGCATTACACAGTAACATTGGTACAAAACATGCACATAGTCATTTAAACTCATTACTTCCTCTCAGGATTTCTAGTCTATTGCAGACTTGATTTAGGCTGTGGAGAACCAGGGGTTAAAAAGTCCACCACAGTGCAGATGGCTGAAGAAACTATGCAGCTCAGGAGATTATGGGTTAGTAGAGATCTTGAATCCAGTCCGCACCAGTTAAAATCAACATAGTGCCATCTGACAGCTGCCCTGAGACCCGCAGCACATGAAATTTGCTCCTTGTTGACTGAAGTCAACACCATCGTCCTTATTAAGAGGGGCTCCTGACTGGCAGCCTGAGCTTTTGCCCCCAGAGACCACTTGTGCAGGACCAAGGCCTCCCCACAGCAGGGCAGGGTAGAAGAAGCTGCCTCTCTCCGCTGGCACGAAGCCTGGCTGCCAGTCTCCAGGACCAAAGTCCTCAAAGCACAGGTGCTGGGTATGGGAGCACATAGCCTGTGGCTCCTTCTCCAGCACTATAGCCCCGACATGGAAGGCTCAAGAACCACAGCAGGATCTTAATGACGCATTTTGCAGAGTGCAAAGCCAGGAGTACAGCTGAAGGACTGACATCTGGCTGTCTGCTAAATGCCATACGTTCAACTAGCACTAAAAAAGGCAACACACAGACATACTAGTACATACAGTCAAATATGCTAGCTACAGGAGAATTATCTATCAGTGTTTTGCTGATCATTAGCACTAAAGGAGGGGAAGGGACACCTTGAACACGAAGCCACTTTACCTATATATCCTCCGCCTCCTCCACCTGAGGAGCACCCCCCTCCACCCCCTCCGAAACCCCCTCTTGTCTCCCACCCCCACTTCTTCATGGCCTGGGGGCAGGATCTTCCTCCAGTAGCACCTTCCAGCAAGGATTTTCCTGACCACAGGAAGGAAGTGTTATCATTCCAGCCACCTCCACCACCTGCAGTTAACAGAAGAGAAAAGGCACAGGTAGGGGTTATTTCTGTGTAAAAAAGCACTGCAGGGATCTGCAGAACAAGACCTCCTTCAAAGCACCTCAGCTGAAAGTAGGAGTCTTGTGCCTCGGTTAGAAGAGGGGATATGACCTTTCTGTAGGGCTTTTGACCACATTAATCATCTTCACCTCTTCCCACCTATCCTACAAAGACAAGTATTTTCTATGGAAAATGTAAAAAGATATCCCTGACTATTCCTCAACCACATGTTTCTGGCTTACAGAGCCTTCCCCTTCTTTTTGAAGAAAATACTTTTGAAAAAAACCCCTGTCTGTTCTGAAGCAGATCCAAAGGAACACAGTGAAAGGGATGTGAAAACATGTCCCAGCCCTGCTCTAAACACAACATACTCACCAGTGACTCACTGTCAGTTCTGCTGGTAATTCAGTCCAAGGTCTCTTCACAGAGACTTGTAGCCAGCCTGCAGTTACGCTCTTTCTGCATAAGCCAGGGAAACTGTGAGTATGTCTACACAGCACAAACCAGTGCAGAGAGCACACAGCCACAAACCAGTGCAGAGAGTCCCATCAGCACTGCAGGCTCCCACACCAAAAATCAAACAACTTTGTTTATAAGAGGTACTACATTATTTTGGGAGAATATTGCCTTTGCTATAGGTATACCAACCCCAATACCCTTACTTAGGCCAAGCATCCTGTACTGAGGGTACATCCTATATGCATCTGTTACACTTATGCCTGAGCTGTGTTTTGATGACTTTCACCTCATCTCCTTGGGAGGAGGAATCTGGGATACCACATATTCACAAAAGTTTTCTTAAAAAACAGTAAACTTTCCTCACCTGCAGCTCCTGAATTTCCATTCAACCCTGGAACAGAGGAATCATTCTCCAGCCTTTCAGGATGAAAAGTGTCTGTTTTGGCCCTGTAGGCCCTGCCACCACCTCCTGCTGCAATTATCAAAGGGACTGGTTCTCCATTCTCCATCTTAACAAATTCAGAAATAAAGGCAGTGTTCAAACTGAATCAGACACACCAACGGAAGTTCAAGCACATGCCAGTTACTGCAAGTTGCACTGAGCAGGCACCTAGGGCTGCTCAGCACTACAAATTACCATTGCATTATTTATGTGCCCACACTCAAAAGATTAATGAATAGCACCAGTCCTACCAAGCTCTGCAACAGAGAACAGTAGCATCAGCCACTCTATGAATTGTACCTACAGTGCAGATGGCTGTTAGAAAGCTTGTAAGGTTACCTTGTGATGACTTCCATGAAATGAAACAGCAAAGGAGCATTTCTCTGTATAGAGCAATACAGTGTCTCCACTGGTAAAGGACTTGCTACATAGGAAACTGTCTGAGCATGTAGACTTAACAAAGAACTGTGTAGAAATTGGGTACCTAAACATATTGTTAAGGCCCGAAACTGGCATTTGGAATGAGTACTGTCCCAGCTAGCACGTGACAGAAAAGGTCAGTGGTCCCTAGCTGTAGGGTTGCCAACAAAAAACACGCAGGCTATCCTCCACTCCTCTTGTCATGGCACTACATGGGCCAAACATGTAGCTAAAGTCTAAAATGTTCTACAATGATAGATTTGAAGCAAATCCTGTGGAATTTGCCCTTTGCTATGGAATTATGCTTCAGCATCTCAGCTTCCAGTGGAACAAACCCATTTCTACCTATTTCCAAAAGAAACTCCAAGCCGCTGAAGTAAGCATGGCCATACTGCGCAGCAGTTCTAAGAAGCATGAAGGGCCAACTTGGGTGTATAGAGGGTTCTCAGATAGTTCAGGCTGCAGCATTAGAGGCAAGTGGCAGGACATGTTCATGATGAAGGTGCACGGGAATTATGTTTCCATACCTTAAATATGTAAGTTGCACCTCCCCCGCCTCCACCTCCTCCTGCCCATTCATTGATGCTTCTGTTGACACGTATCTCTTCTTCAATCACATTGTTCTCGCCAATGCAGACCTTCTGTATAACATCATTAGTCTGCAAACAGAATGGGGATTGTCAGGAGGACAGAGCCAGGCTCTTTTCAGCAGCGTCCAATGACAGGACAAGGAGTAATGGGTACAAGTTGGAACATAGGAGGTTCCACAAAAATATTAGAAAAAACTTTTTCACTGTGAGGGTGCCAGAGCCCTGGCACAGGCTGCCCAGGGAGGTTGTGGAGTCTCCTTCTTTGGAGATATTCAAAACCAACCTGGATGAGTACTTGTGTGATCTACTGCAGGTGATCCTGCTCTGGCAGGGGGGCTGGACTAGATGATCTTTTGAGGTCCCTTCCAACTCCTGACATTCTGTGATTCTGTGACTAGGTCTGAATTCTGGTGAGAAATCTCCAAGTCCTTGAACACACACAGGTCTTGTGGACCCTTCACCTTCCCAAACCAATAAATTTTCCTCCAGTGAAAATACATAAGCAGAAACAACTCTTCTAGAAGAATCTCACTTTACGCTTTGACCTATGTCAGAAGAATTTTTTGCCATTTTAATTGAATTATTTTGAAGCAAGCTCAGTGCTGGTATCTATTACCATGTAAAACAGTTCCATAAACTTTTAAAACACAGTGTAGCAGAATTTACTGCAAATGCTTCCCAGCATTAACTACCTGTATCTCACAATTTGGGGAAGACATTAACTCAGCAATGATGTGAGTTGGCCAACATCATGCAACAGACAGAGAGAGAACCCAAGTTTCTTTACTCTCTCTTCCAGTGCCCCACTGGTTGGGGTCAGGCAACAATTTTACTGTAATTACCAGTGCTAGCTACTTCCAAGCCTACCAAAACAGCTGAAATCCCATCTTTCATTGCAGAGTTGACCTGATGTTAAAAAAGATATCTCACTAAAAAGCCTCCACATATCCTACTTAGCATTATTTTTCAATCTATCAATTGGCACCAAATGTAGTGAACCTTCTGTATTAGGCGAATCACTGAATTCACTAACTGATTTTAAACATGACTTTTTAAGTAGTTCTGGACTATGGCAGAAGAGAGGTAACCATTGCTTTAATTTTAAACTGGAGCACTAAAGTACATGACAAACAGGACTCTGCTGTAAGTATTTCTAAGTTGCAAGCTTTGCTTCTATCTGCTTTTACCTTATACATTTAACCTCAGTAACATTATCTTGTTATGCACACTGAGCTCATTAGGTCACATTACTTTAAGGGAAAAATGCACAAACATTTTTTACAGTAGGATTCACCTCTGCTTCATTCTACTTTCATATATGTGTTTTCTTTTGGAAGAAGAACCTGATAAAACCACCCTGAAGTTACAAATTATTCTGTTGACCATAAAATGTGTCCTAGGTTGTGTCAGAGAACGAATGGCGTCCATTCCGTGTGTGCAGATTTGCTGATGGAACTAAACCATCCTCCTTTCCCTAGTCTTCTCTCTGCTTAATTGATTTGGAGTTGGGTGAGGATGATTAATAAAACGACAAAGTCAGTGACCCAAAGGAACCACTAGATTACCATTGAATTAAAAAAAATAAAAATCCTTCATGGCAAAGACATAACTGATTACAATCCAATCTAGTAAAAGTCCCTTCTACAAGTCAATGCAATCTCTTTGCCTCAATGAAAGAATTACATTAGCACTCAATAAATTCTCACTAAGATTACAGTGGCCTGCAATTTAATGAGTCCATATATTACACTCAGCTGGAATGTCCCAGTTATAGACATTAGGTGGAAGTTTGAGTTAGGGCATTTCTCATTTCAAAGAGGCTTTGTATTAATGGTTTGTTTGGAGATATGTATAATTCTACTTTTAACATTATTTACTTCAGCGCCTAGCCTTGAAAACCCCTCCTTCTTGTCTACATCCTTCAACCTTACTCTGCTGTAACAGACTGCTAAGCTTTCATCTCTTGGATGCCAGCCAGTAATAGCTGAGAAATGTACAGCATTTAAATGTCCAGCTCAAACCTGTAGGTGAAATTTCATCAGATAATGCTTAGTTTCCCTCATAAGAATCTCCTATTCCCTCATCCTCTAAAGAATACTAAATGAGTAATAGATTATTGTGTTTGCAAATGCTGAAAGTTGCACCTTTCTGTCGAGGCATTTGTAGCAACAATTGGTTAGTAACACAAAAAATCAGGACTGATCAGCAGTGATTAATCTGTCTCTCCCACTCCTGTACAGAAAATAACCAAATGGGCCCAGTGGGGTGAGTGTCTTCAGGGTTCCAGAGTACTATGACGATGGCAGGGCTGGCCAGGCTTAGAAGCAGAGCAAAGCCCTGTGAAGTCAACCTTGAAGACTGATCTCCAGAGGAGAGGAAGGCAGAGTTGTCTTTTCCCTCCAAACCCCCATGTAGATGTTCTGAGATACGCAGATCAGTCAGGAGCCTGTAGTGTATTACCAATGAGGCCTGAATGTTGGAGAGGAAGAGAGCACAGTGGCATGGTACTCTATCTTTTCACACTCACAGCCTCCCAGCAAAACTGTAGCTATCCCTTGAACCACACAAGCCCAAACCCATCAAGGACAATGGCTTTCTCTGTAAACAGACATAACACCATGGATTTGTAGGAGGGAGTAAGGCAAAACAGAAAGGGCAATCACTTACACTAGGACAAGCATCTTCTCCTTGCTGTCCCACCAAGATATACAAAGTATCATCCTTCTGGAGGTCAAAAATTCCCAGCACAGACACGCCGTGGGATCGCATCATGGTGTTCTTTCCTCCTTTCCCACCAGCAGCTCCATAGCCTGAGATGCTGCAGGAAAAAGAAAACAAGAGCCTTGCACCTGAGTTGACCCAGGCAGGTGGAAGGTAGTACAAACCACTTCCAGACACTGAGTGTTTTGCACAGCTGAACTGTATACAGTGCCACTGGGCCATGTCCTGAAGACCCCGCACTCTAAATAAATCTAAACTCAAAGCTTGAAGACTGAGGTTCTCTGCTCTACATGGACCTATGAACTTGGGTGGCTGCAAAACAGCTTCTTTCACACGGAATATCGGGCAAACACTTGCTGAGGACAGAGTGAGCAAGTCCCCATGCTTTCAAACTTTAATATAGGAAACACGTCTTGTTTCCCAGAAGGCATACCTATGAGAGGCTTGCAGCAAGGAACAGAAAGAACAGAAACAGCAGAACCAGTAAGTACAGCACATATGGCTAAAGCAAATCATAGAATGTTCGGGGTTGGAAGGGACCTCTAGAGATCATCTAATCCAACCTCCCTGCCCGAGCACGATCCCCTAGGGCAGCCACACAGGAATGCATCTAGGCGGGTTTTGAAAGTCTCCGGAGAAGGAGACTCCACAACCTCCCTGGGCAGCCTGTGCCAGTGCTCTGTCACCCTTACAGTGAAAAAGTTTTTCCTCATGTTGAGGTGGAACTTCCTATGTTTTAACTTAAACCCATTATTTCTTGTTCTATTTCTGGGCGCCAAGAGAAGGAGATTGCCAGAGGGAGATTTGAGAAAGCAGACAGCATAACTAGTCCTGGTAGCATGGGCCAGATGGGTAACACCTCTCCTATTCCCACGACCTGAGGAATACAGAAGAGTAGATGGACATGGCACTACCTGCAGTAAACAAGGAAGGCAAAAGTCCCTTGGCTAAACTCACAGACACCATGAACGTCTTACCGTCTCCAGCCAGAAGTGACTAGGTTGCATACACAGGCTGCTGCAGTCTCAATTAAGGTGCTGGCACATTCATTTCAAGCAGTTAAGATTCAGAAGTCCTTACGTTGTTGATGTATCCAAAGATTTGACTGTAAGACTGGATTTCTCAGGTCCTCCCTCTCTCCCTTTCTAAGCACCTAAACAACTTGTGGCAGCTTTTATCAAAGGATTTAAAAATCATGATAAAACACACATCTCTGCTGCAGAAAATGACAGTGTTTCTCATTTTTTTAGAGCAAGTGAGGGGTGGTACAGTAAGCTCAGTTTAGATCTGAAATAAGTGGGCAATTCTCCACTGACATAAGTAGCTTTCCAGCGATTCCCATGAGAGCAATATTCAACCTGGAGCACATGAACAGTGACTGCAGGGCTGAGAACACAAAAGTTCCTCTTGGCTTCCTACCAGTTACAGTACAGGTGCTCTGCTTTACCTCTTCCTTTCCTCTAGCATCTGCTTGGTGTTTGCCTAGCACAGTCCTGCACCCAAACAAGGTACCAGAACAAACCAGGAGTGCCCATCACACCTGCCACTGCACATCAATGTCCATAAATCTATGGGGCCAGATGGGGTACATCCTACAGTACTGAAAGAGCTGGCAAGGGTTTCCACCAAACCACTCTCCATCATTTATAAACAGTCCTGGCAGACTGGGGAGGTTCCAGCTGATTGGAAGTCAACCAATACAACACCCATCTACAAGAAGGGAAAGAAGGATGATCCAGGAAACTGTAGGCCTGTTAGCTTGACTTCAGTTCCAGGAA